AAGAGCAGCATAATTTTTAACTAATTATGTGGCTTCTCGGCATTAAAGATAACCCAGTTTCTTCCTGCCTGATGGAGGGAGAAAATCCAAAATCTTTGGAACCAGGATTTATTGCTTGTTTAGAGACTTCTTGCACTGGTTTCTCTTAAATCCACCGAGCCCTGTATCTAGGGTTTCTAGATCTTATAACCACCTTTCAAAGCAGGGGAAGATGATGCATCACCCTTCTTTACCCTGAGCCATGATCACCTGGTAGCTTTTTCCACAGCTGGCTTAAACTGAGCTTAGATGGGCTGCCCCAGACCCATATTCCCCTGCTGGGTGGTTCCCCCTTGCCCTCTCTCCCAGTGCTGCCTGTAGCTAACAGTTTGGAGATGAAATGAATTTCTAGGTTAGCTTTTGCACGAATTGGGAGTTTTCTCGTTTCTCTTACGTGAGCTGGTGCTTGGATCCGATGTCATCGGGCCAGACGACGATGCATTTTGTTGTTCCGTTGTCCATCATGATCTCAGCGTAGAAGCACTGTGGGAAGGCAAGCCCAAATGCCACCAGCCAGATTATCCCTATGATGACTCTGGTGCTTCCAGCAGAGAGCCTGGGCTTGAAGGGATGAATTATTGCCATGTACCTGCAAGAAAAATAGGTAATGCTTTTACAGTTGCATTGGTAAACTATACGACAAATATAGCAAGTGTAAAAACTCACCAGGACGGTATACTGGACTTTATTCATAGAGACATTTTGATAGGTTCCAGGCTATAAATAATTAGAAGGAGCTAAATCCTTTCTGAAGAGAATGATTGCAAGTCTTAGGGCAGAATATATTAAACCCGTGTGGATGGCGGCTTCTAGTGTGAGGAAGAATGTCTTCTGCATATGGTCTTCGCAAGTATTCCCCATACTTTGAATTTTGCTTTTTTTAATCTTTTTTTTTAAATTAATTTTTCAAATGCTTTATGTGTTTGGTCTGAAATTTCATGCTGTGAACTGTTTGTGTTAGTTTGGAGTTATGCACTGTTTAATACCATGCCCTTTTCTCCTTCCTCTAGCAAAAAAAACCCTCAAACTCTGTTTCCCCCTAATTATGTCAACCTCCTCTGACACCCCGTATTATCACAACAGCAGATTGGGGTCTTGAGTATCCTTTACCCTGAATTTTTCCCCACTGATTTTTAGCCGTGGAAAACTCATGTGCCATCCACCTCTGCCTGTAAAATGCTCGAGCACTTGTGCTTGCGGTGGAAGGGGAAAACTGACCCTTTCATCCTACACCTGCTCAGAGCCCTCATGGCACATCTGACTATTAGATTACTTGCAAGCCCGGGGCGCTCTCTGGTTTTAAGTTCCCTGTGTAAAAACGCATGGTATCGTAATGAGTACATAATCAATTATGCATTTCTTGTCATGCTTTCTGTACTCTTTGTCATGGTTGTTACAAAGGCAAAATAGAGTGGAAAATGCCAATTGCCTCCTGGTTTTCATAGCGAAAATCTGACAAACTCTGTGCTGTCTCTTGGCCAGGCTGTTGGGAGGGAGCTCTGCCCGGCTGCTGCTGCAGGACAGAGGGCGGCTGCATGGACAGACAGCACAGTAAGTAAGCTAGAGCTGCATGGCAGCAGAGCCTTATTTAGCCATGAAATTTTCATGTCATCTTGCTTTTCTTTAGCTTGTTGTAGGCAGTATTATATAATGCTCAAATCTGGTCAGGGAGGAATCAGAAGTGCCTAAATCCACGATCTGTGGCTCTTGGTGAACGGCAAGTCCTCGGTATAAATGATGCCACCACTGCACTGCCGAAGCAGCCTGATGCAGCAGCCCGTGTTGCAGATACTGAAGGTATTACAGGGCTGCTGGGTGGAGGCTTTCCCACTCAGCCAGGGGTGCACCCCCGAGGCGAGCTGCACTTTTAGGCAAGCTCCTGCAAGCTGGGAGGTGTACCGAATCTGCTGAGATCTCCTGGCCGCTCTTGCTGTGTGGCAGGGTTGCCTTTGCCCCGCTGCTGCTTGTGCTCCCTGCGACATCCCAGGATGCTGGGACCACGCTCCCGGCACCCTTCCTCTGGTCCTCGTCCCATGCAGACAAAACAAGCTGAATATTGGACACTTGCACACTTTCCGAAGAGGGCCTAGGAGGCTTTGCTAACTGGAAGGTGAAACTTGATCTGATATACTACATTTCTGCCTGGAGTGCTGTGGGAAGTGTGCAGTGGAAAAAGCTGCTCCAGTACACAGAGCAGCTTGAAATGGGGAAGCAGAGTGGTCCTAAACCCAATGGGGAGCGATACTGCCAGGGCCTTTTCCACAGCAGACAAAGATTGACTTATGGAGCTGTAACTTCTTAGCCTCCTTCCTTACAATAAACTACTTGAAAAGACATTGTTTTATTGAAGTTAAACAACGGAGCCCGTGGACACAAGTTCTCATAACAATAAATGGAAGCCGCAAGTTTCCAGGAGACAGTGTCAGGATCTATTTTAAGGCTAAGCAAAGAATAGCTAAATATGGTTTGCAGCAAGATGCCAAGTTTTCTTTCTGATCCGTGCCATGTGACTAAAGAGATTTTGGCTGTATAGGTACTTTCACCAAAAGTCCCCAAGGAAAAAGAGTAGGGAGACATGAGGACAGGCTGAAATGGATTTTTTTTTTTTTTAAACAATATTCTTTGGCAGAACACATGTATAAAATAGCAAGTTACCAACAACCCTTGATTTAAAGCCAGGAACAGCAGAAGAGTATTCAAGTCTAAAAGTGAGCTGCCATTGCTTCTAAATAGGGATTTGCTTTCATCTGGACAACTGCAGGCTGATAAACACATCACTCATCCCTGTGCTTATTAGCGATCCTTCCAATGACGGCAGGGGCCGCTGCCCCGTACTGTGGCAGCGCCATATCCCCAGCTCCGGTGTGGGTTTCAGTGGGCATTACACGCACACGGGGCAAAGCCGCCTTTCTCCTGCGAGTGAGTTTGTCTGGTTTCATTTGTCTATCGATTGCTTCCTGAGGCTGGGTGTGCCGGGGTGAACCGAGCTGCAAGCAGGGGAGGGAGTTACGAAAGCGACCCCGATGACTCAGGGAGCAATGCTCTTTGGATGGCTCCAGAGGGATACTGGCTCCGCTCCCGAGGGAGCTGGAAGGGCCCTTTGTGGATATGCGTGCTTGATAAGGAATAGAGGAAATCTGACGGAAACTGCAAAGTCAACAGACAGGAAGGATGGAGGGAAGGAGGGCAGAGAGCCTAGAAGGGAGCTTAACCTCCTCTACTTTTTTTACATGCCATTGCCGTTAAGAGAGGAAATTCCCATGGACTTTTGGCTGCTTTCTAGTAAGAAGAAAAACAGCGTCATGCTAGTTAACAATGAGCTGTAAACACATTCAGACTCCACAAATTTAAGCTCAAGTAAAAGAGACTTGGCAGATGTAAGAGTATTATGAAAATACCAAATTACTACAGAAGTCAAACAAAATCACTGTAATTACTTTCCTCCCTCTTGGAATAAGTCATTCTTGTGAACAACTGGAGCACTCTGCCATTTCTGATCCAATTCCCGTTATTTCTGGTGGTTTGCTGGACTTGCAAGAGGGATTGTGGCTGCTGATACTTTCAGCATCCTGCAGGATATTCGTATCGCTCCAGCTCTGTCCAAATGAGAGGTCCTTCTCGTGGTTTAAAAAAAACAAGTTTGCAGGATGACTGGGAAACGATTTATGATCGATAACAGAACAATAAAATACCAGCCACTTCCACTCATTACACATTCAGGCGTGATTCAGACCAGGGATAAGACGGAAAAGCCTTCCTTTTGTGCCACAACTAGCATCTAACCCCATAGTCTATTTGCCTGGCACTCCGCCCACTTTGCTGATAAGGCAACTGACATGGTAGGGGGGGATTCCACAAAGTATTGCAATAATTTTTTATAACTTACAGTGAATTTTTCGGACCTTATCTTCTCCATTCGCCCTCTTACCTCTCTGCAGCCACGGCTGTCATGGAGTAAATGCTCACAAACATTGCGGTGACGGGGAACCAGTTCTGAAACCTGCAGAATTCCTCGCCAAAATACCAGACGTTGTGACTGGCATAAATAAAATTGAAGACGGTATTGAAAGCAGACATCAGCAAGTCCGAAAAAGCCAAATTAACGATAAAGTAATTGGTAGCAGTCCTCATTCTCTTGTGCGCAAGAATAATCCAGATGATGGTGACATTGCCAACGACGGATGTGATAACGATGAAGGAATAGGTGATAGCCCACAAAGCAATTTGCCATCCCGGCTGGGTAAACTGGGTTACTGCCGTCCAATTGCCGCTGTCCTTGAGGGAGTCAGCCTGTGAAATGTTGCTAGCATTTAAAATGGAAAATGTGCTCATGGTTTTTTCTTTGGCTAAGTGTAAAATAAAATCTTCTGGCATCTGCTTATTTTCTTGCAGTAGATGCTGGTGTTATGAATCCCCATGCATATGACTAAGTGCTGTTAAAAAGACATCGGGATGAGATGTCTCATGTCCTCTCATCCTGTTTTCCAAGTGATGCAATGCAGTTCCAGGAGGAGATGGAGGGCCTCCTCCTTGCCTGGCATTTTAATCTATGCTTGAAGAGTGAAACCTAAAGAATTCCTCTCCGCCTTGAGTTTCTTTTTTCTCTAAAAAGAAAGAAAAAAGGAAGATTTTTTTTTAAGGAAGGTTTTTTTCCAGGTCGGTGACAGGCAATGTCTTCCTTTAGGTTATTTTTAGGGCCAAGAAAATATAACTGGAAGTATCAAGCCAGAAAACACTTCAATCCAAGTGGAAATCCTTCTTTTTCAGGGCAGCAGTCTTCCAAGGCACTAGGTATCTGAATCCCCTGCAGTGGGACTGAGGACATGTGGTTTTCTTTGCCTGTGTAACTGTTAAGTGCGAGGCAGGAGCCGTACTGGGATAAATTCTCTACAGGGTTTAAGGGGACTTGAAAGGAGGTGGAGTCTCCTGCAGGCAAAAACTAAACAACCAATTTGACATCAAATGAAATGTGGCCAAGTGGTACTTGAAACTCCCCCCTGCCCCCCGCCGTTTGTGAAATAATCTCTGAAATGGACATGCTGCTATATCGGGGTTTACAGGCTTAAATGCAGGGGTAGCTACTTTGCCGGGTTTACCAGTCCTGCAATTCTTGCATTTCCAGGACCCTCCCTGGCTTCATGCGAGCTCTCATAGCAAGAAAGAAACAAAATGTATTCAACGCAATTTTAGCAAGGTGGTCTTGCTCTCTGCAACTATTCGGAGGCTTATCTGTATTTTTAATACATTTTACTTAACAGTGACTGCCCTATATAATATGACTCGACCAGCCATATTTAGTAGATTTGGTATGATTTAATTTGTTTAAATTACAGCAACGTGTCCTGTTGGGGCTTGAAGGGTTGCCAGAGAATAATGCCAGGAGAGAGGCATTTGTGAAGACCAGACCTGAACTGGGACTTCTAATAAGGCTTCAGTGGGAAGCTGGCACCCGGGGTCTCATCCAGAGCTCCAGAAATCCTTCTCCAGCTGCTCTCTAGCATAGAAACATCCAGAGGAGCCTCAGTTCCCAACCTCCACGCTCTGTGATGCTGAGGGGCTGAACGAGGGGCATTCCCCCTTCGGACCACTGCATCCCCTTTCCCAGTGTGAAAATTATTGGCTTCATGCATGCAAGAAGGAGTATCTGGTCCTCGTAGGAAAGGGAAACCCCTGACTCCCGTCTCTGCTCAGAGTACAGCACTCTTGCTCACTCTCAGCTTTGCAGTAAGTGATATAAACATAAGGAACACATTGAGGCTGAGACTTCAAAGAGTACTTGGCACCGGCTCATGCCTGCCCTGCTGGAAACTAAAAGTGTTTCAGGTATTAAAAAGCTGTTTTCAGCTATTAAAACCTATTTTCAAATATTAAAACCCGTTTTCAGGATTCAGAAAGCTCCTGACGAGTAACATAAAGGAAAAACTCCCCCTGTGTGTGCGGCATTGGGATGGCAGTGGCTTTCCAGCTCCTGTGGTTGCTGGAGCTGCGGCTGTGCTAGGCTCCCCTGTAACAGGGCAGCATTTATCGGTTCAGGATCCTTTCCACCAGCTCAGCCTGGACTCTTTCCTTGCTTCATTAATTTCTGGAGGCAGCCTTCAGTTAACCCATCACCTAACCACTGCAACTCTTTAAAGCAGGTCTTCTCTGAGACAGTATTACCCCGGTATTGTTTTTTAGAAATTAATACTTGCAGTACTACATGTAATACCTCGTTCTCCTCACAGTGGACTTACCTGCAGGTAATTCCACTCACTGCCTTACCCAGAAACTGTAAAAATACACTTGTACGTCTCTTCTCATGTGCATTGCAAAGCTGTTCCAGGCTCTTCTTGAAAGTCTTCCACTGACACCTCATTAAACAACTTATGAACCTTCCACTTTCTGTATGCCATCCAGGAGGGCTTTTCATGATTTGCAATATGAATTCGACAGCTAATAGTGTTCTTCCAATTTTTTTTTCCTTCGGCTTGCTCAAATCTCTTCAAATTCCAAGGAGAATATGAGCAAAAACCTCCATATGTTTAGCTGAGAGCGGAGCTAAAGTGCTTTAT